ATGATGAGGCTAGTTTTTTTTGCCGTTTTCGGCCCTGGGGGGCCCTCGCTGGGCCTCGGGACCGTCAAAAAATGACTCAGGCTGAAAAACGGGTCCCTGGGGAAAAGGTCGTGACTTCCAGGGGCCCATAGTGAACAAAACCAGGACGTCTCATGTGTCGACGGGGACCATGACCAAGATGTCGCGGGATCCAGTCCATGCCGTTCTTGGGCATGGTCCATGTCGGCCGTCGCTGGTTCGCGAGGATTGTGCCCGAAGTGACGCTGACCAAGGTGGACGCTCATTGAGATCGACACGACGTTTCTGCGGTCAGCCTTGCTCATGGTCCCAGTTTTCGGCGGCGAGCGAGGGGTGTGGTCAGAAAATTCCTCAGAAGGCCGGGGGACTTCCGAGCCTTCTGAGAACTGGCCACGCGCAGAGGGGGGTAGGGGGAGGGGGAAAGGCTTCTCGCAATCACTCCTGCTTCTTTGAAGGCGTGGGCCTTGCCTGCAGATGTAAGGCCCGCGCCTTCCAAGAGGCAGCCTCCTTCTAAGAAGCCTTCCCCCCTCCCCCATACTGTGGGGGCGTTCGTTAAGGAATGTGCCTAGGAGGCTTAAGACCCTGGAGGATTCCTTATCCAATGAGGACTGTGGTGAAACCCATGGCCACTCCACAATTGGAGTTCCGAGAGCGTCCAGACCCTTGATTTCCTATCCAGTGGTTCCTTGCCTCATATCTCCAACGTACCCCCCTCTGCGCGCCGCCAAGAGAAGGCCCGCCCCTCCTCACTTCCCACCCTGGTTCGCCGCCAACATCTACTTCCCCTCGATCCCGGGCGATCTCGGGTGCGCTCCTTAGGCCCCGCGCTGCCCCAGGTGCTCGAGTGGGGGATCGACTGCAGATTTGACTCACCCCAGAGCTGCACTTGTTCGCCGAATCAACGAAACAGTACGTAGAAGGTTCGTAGAATGTTCCGTAGATCTATGGACACTCTACGCAATTATTCGGGGGACTTTGATGGGAAAGCCAATCCCTGAGATCCGAAGTTGCAAAACAAATGCAACATTGCAAACAACGCGACCGGACCCCCGGACCCCACGTCGCTTTACTTTGTGAGCCGGATAGATCTGTGAGGGTCAGGGCCCGAAATGGAGCGAAAACGCCGTCGGTGAAACAATTGCAACGCCAGGATCTCAGGGATTCTGGGGTGGATCGATTCTGCAGTCGATCCCCTCCTCTGAGTGCCTCGGGGGTGGCGGGGGCGTCGAAGGCTCACCGCCAGCGTGGCCTGGGCCCCCCCGTCGGCGCGGGAGCGCAGCACGCGGCCCCCGGGGCTTCCAGGGCTGCGCCGGCCAGGGGGGCTCGAGAAGCAAAACGCGGCACAGACATATCGGTAACTGGATCATATACCTAGACATAATGGCGTCGTAAGGAAATCAGGACGGGAGGTTTTTGGTCATTTTTGGCACTGGGGGGCCCTCGCCAGGCCTCAGGACCGTCAAAAAACGACTCAGGCTGAAAAACGGGTCCCCCGGGAAAACGTCGTGACTTCCAGGGGCCCCATAGTGAACAAAACCAGGACGTCGCATGTGTCGGCGTTGACCATGACCAAGATGTCGCGGGATCCAGTCCATGCCGATCTTGGGCATGGTGAATGTCGGCCGTCGCCAGTTCGCGAGGTTTGTTGTTATTTTGGGCATCGAGGGGCCCTCGCTGGGCCTCGGGACCGTCAAGAAACGACTCAGGATGAAAAACTGGTCCTGGGGAAAGGGTCGGGACTTCCAGGGACCCCGTATTGAAAAAATCAAGACGTCGCATGCCCGGGTACATTACCAGTGGCGGGCTGCTTGTCAATTCCAGGACACTGTGAGGGTGGGGGGCGGCGTCCGGTGGTGTGGTGTATACTTCTTCCCCCGTTTGCCGGGGGAAACGGCGAAGAATGTATACATCAGGACCCCGTATACACCAGGATCCGTTTTCCTGTGCGAATTTCAGTGCAGGGCCGGAAAAAGCGTCGGTGTATGTTTTCGGCCCCTTAACATGAACCCTGTTGGCGTTCCGCGCGGACCCTGAGATCCTGGCGTTGCAATTGTTTCACCAGCGGCGTTTTCGCTCACTGTCGGGCCCCTGGGCCCTTACATATCAATCCGGCTCGGGAATGGAGGCAGAAAGATGGGGTCCGGGGCTCCGGTCGTGATTTTTGCGATGTTGCATGTTTTTGCAGCGTCAGATCTCAGGGGATGACATGGATCTGCGCTGGGCCTCCTTGGCGGCGCCTCGGGTGCCGCCCCTGCCGCGCTCCGCGCGCCAGGGAGGGGGTCCAGCTCAGATCCAAGAAATCCGCGCGGACCGTCAAAAGTTTATGTTGATGCTGTGTTTTGTTCCTCTCCCCCTCGCCCGCGGCCGCTCCTCTTCTTTCCCTCTTCTCTTGCATCCAGGGCAATTCGCATGGCCGTCGCTCGTCCTGCGGGACGAGCGTGCGGACTGATTCCTCTGAGATTCGACGTAGCGAAAAATTTGCAACATCGCAAAAGAAACACGCCTGGAGCCCTATGCCCCATCTTCTTGCGCCATTGTTCGAGTTGGATCGATCTGTGAGCGCCCCGGGGCCCGAATAAAGGCGAAAGGGCCGGTCGTGAAAAAATTGCAACGCCAGGATCTGCGACGTAGAACATCGCGGAACTGGCGCTCGCCCTGGAGACGCGGGGCTCTGGGCTTGGAGCTGGGGCGGTGCGAACCCTCGCGTCTTGGGCTAGGGGTTCTAACTATCGTTGCTCCTCGGTTTCTTGGGGCGGTCATAACTCGTAATCTCAAGTCATAAGTCGACGAACCTGCGGCAGGGGTTCCTGCGGCGTCCAGCGACGCCAAGCGCACGGGCAGCTCGGTCCCAGTCTCGCCCGGTCCCTCGCACGCTCGCTCGCGCGCGTCTTGTTTGTCGCCCGCTCCCTCGCGTGCTGCGACTCTGCGTCCGCTTCTTTGCCTGGCTTTGGGTTCCTGCGGGCCCGCCTGGTGCCGCGGGCCCGCTGGGGCAGCGCGTCGGCCTCAGCGCCTGGGACCGCGGCGTTGGGCATGGTGCCCGTGTGCTTCGGCCGGCGCCCTGACGCGCCAACCGCCAGCGTCGGTTGACGTGGCGGAGTGGCCATTCTGCTAGGGGGCGTCTGGCCGCGACCTCAACGGGCGTCGATTGGGTGCCGTTCTCCCCTCCTGGGTGGCATCGTTGTCGAGCGTCGCCGCGCTGGAGACCCATGGGGCGGTAGTAACTGGTCATTGCAAGTCGCACGTCGACTAGCGCTGGGGGAAGTACCCCGCCGGCGTCGCAGCGCGCCACGGCGGGCGGCTGCGTGGCCGCCCGCCGCGCGCCGCCGCTTCGTCGGACTGGCCAGCCTCCGGCGCGGGCTTGCCGGCATGCCGCGCGGCCGTGCGTCGGGCCCTCTCTCGCTCGTCCCCTCTCCTAGCACGGTCGCCGTGTCTCCATTCTGCCGCCTGGCCGCGGGGCGGCAGGTCAAGCGCCCGGCCATGTCTACGGCGCCCTACCCGCCCACAGTGGCAATCTGGGTTTGGGCGTCCGCCCAGGGTTTTGTCGTCTGCTTGCAATGGCGCAGCTTCGGTCCACCGTTGGGGGGGGCGACGCGCGGCGCGTCCGTTCGCCGTAGTGCGTCGGGCGGGACCGCGGTCGCAGCTTGTTTTTCTCGCACCCACCACCTTCGAGGGGGGAATGGTGCCCGTGTGCTTCGGCCAGCGCCCTGACGCGACAACCGCCAGCGTCGGTTGACGTGGCGGAGTGGCGATTCTGCTAGGGGGCGCCCGGCCGCGGCCCCAGCGGGCGTCGAGGGTTCGCACGTCGCGCCCGGGGTCCCGGGTGGCCGTTGGACGTCGGTCCAGGACCCCTTCTCGTTGTGACGAAATCACGACGGGAGTTTTGTTTGTCATGTTCGGCCTCTGGGGGCCCTTGCCAGGCCTCGGGGCCGTCAAAGAACGATTCGGGATGAAGAGCCGGTCCCACGGAGGGGGTCCAGACCCTTGTTGGTCGGCGCCGTGAACAAGTCGCGACGTCGAGGGTCTGGGGGGTGGCTCCAGAAAGGGTCCAGGGACCGGTTCTGAGAGTCTTTGGAGGGGGAGCGGGGGCTGGGAGTTGGGAAGGGTGCGGGCGGACATGCGCATGTTTCGGGTGGACGGTCTCAGCAGAGGGCCCGCTTTGTTCTGGGAAGTTTCCGTTTCGGAGGCTCCACTTCTGGGGGGAGGGGCGTTTCGGTGAGCCCGCTTGGCTTCGGAACGCCCCCTTTCCCCTGCCTCTTCCATTTTTCCTTCTTTCTCATTCATCTTTGCCTTTTCCCTTCTCCTTCCCCCTCCCTCTCCCCCTCCTTATGCTTCTCCTTCCCCTCCCCCTTCCCGTTCTCCCTCCCCTCCTTCCTCCGCCCAGCCGGTTGCAATCATAGAATGTCCACGCGGGCCGCGCGTAACCGACGTTTCTTTCTTTCTGGATTTCACCCCGCTGACGAGGGCCGCCCTGATGGGCGGCGCATCGTGGGCCCAAGACCACTTGTGGCCACAGATCCCGAAGTTCAGCGGTGCGGCTCCTCGGGGAGCCTTCCGCTCCATACCTTTCTTCATGCCTGGCGGCCAGAGCTGGCGGCGCGAGAGGAGAACGCATTCGTGCGCCCCGCGCTGCTTCACTTTTTACATGCCGCGATCGCCCTGCATATTCCCTGTTGTGCCTGCCGCCGCGCTCCGTGGTCCTTTGGTGGGAGTCGGCGAGTCACGGGCACCAGTGGAGTCGCGCGACGAACCCCAGTTCAGCTGTGCACGCCCTCGCGCCCGATCGTTGGAGCGCAGTGTCGGCCAGCCAGCGTCGCATCCACCTCCTCCTCCTCCTTTTCCTCCTCCTCCTCCTCCTCCTTCCCTCCCTCCCTCGCTCCCTCCTCCAAAACCCTCCTCCTCCTCCTCCTCCTCCTCCTCCTCCTCCTCCTCATCCTTGTCCTCCCTCCTTCTTCTCCTCCTCCCCCCACCTCTTCCGCGTCCAGGCCACGCGGCCGCCCGAGCGGCAGACCACTCCTCCGCAGCAGCCTGGGCCGCAGTCGGCGCTGCACCAGGCGCCGCAGCAGCCGGCGGACCCGAGGGTCCTGCGGCAGCGGGCGGCGGCAGCTGGCGCGGCCGTCGCAACCGCGGAGCGGCCGACGGTCACAATGGGGCCCAGGGGCTTTCTCCCCTCTGGCGCTGATGCGTTCTTGGGGTTAATCCGTATCGCAAAATGCCCCTTTCCTGAAACCCGCGGTGGGCGGAGTGAGGAGGGGGTCGGCAGGATGATCGTCGTGCTGGGTCGAACCCTCATAGGGTTCTATTCGAACTGGAGCTACCCCTAGCAGGATTCTAAGTGGATCGAAGCCAATTAGAATTACGATAGAGGATTCCGATTCAGCCAACGGAGTCAGCAGGCATGTGAACCTGCTCAATCGATGTCCGGAAGGAGTGTCATGAGGTCATGAAAAGGCTACCATTTCTTGTCTTCCTGTTTTGTTGATTGAAGTGTTGCGTTACGTTGCGTTGCGGGTGGGGTTGGGGGGGATCACGGGCCCCAGTCCAGGTGTTCAGCCTTACAGACAACACGTGGACAGTAGCCCCAAAGCACCAGAGGTGGACGGGGCCCTAGTCCAGTTGTGATCCTTGTTGTTGTCTTCCTTTTGCCGTCGTCTTATCTTGTCAGAGGGCACCAACTATACACTCCGCTGGTCCTAGCCAGGCCGATCCTGGGCCCAGGATCGGTGTACAAGCCTTCCCGCCCAAGCCAGGATGGCGTATGCACCGATCCTGAGCCCAGGATGGGCCTGGCCAGCATCGGCAAATGTGTACAGTTGATGCCCTCCTACGGTCATGAACTTTGGCTTCGCGTGTTGCTCCGCAGCTGGTTCTCGCCGCTGGGTTAGGTTGTGGCCCACCACACTTCCGGCGCCACACGCTAACCGCTTCCCGGTCAACGAGCCACATCGCCTCGAGCTCTCCCGAGCCTCCCGCTCCGCGGAGCGGGGCGGCACGCTATATCCGCTCGCAGGGCATACCGTGCTGCCGGGGCCGCCGCCGCGACACGCGAAGCCGGAGTTCCCGACCGGATCTTGCCCTCGACTGGGCGAGCGGCCCGTGCAGGTGCCAGCTTCGCTGGGCGCCCGCCCGGTGGGCTCCGCCCCGCGTGCGGCGCGCAGCGGCGGCATCGCGCTCGTGGCGCTAGGCGCTCTGCTGCTGCCGTCGGAGCTCCCGTCCCGTCTGCCGCCCTCTGCCCCCCGGACCCCTGTGTGCAGTGAGCAAGAATCGCGACGGAATGTTTTTTTGCTGCCCTCGGCCTCTGGGGGCCTTCGCCGGGCCCCGGGGCCGTTGAGAAACGACTCCCGGTCCCGGGGAATCGGTCGACACCTCCGAGGGTCCACGTGAGCGACGCAAAACATGTGGTCGTCTGCGCCGACATTGGCGCGTAAGCTGCCCGTGTGAGGTCGCGCGTGAGCATCCTCGTTTCCAGCGCAGCGTGTCGCGCTGCCGGCCCGCGTAAGCCGCAGCGTAAGGTCGCCATGCCATCTCGCGTAAGACCCGTTTCTTTTCGCTGCCCACGTTGCGAACAAAAATCCTGGCGTCAGGGGTCTGGGTCTGCTCCGGAGGAGCAAGGGTCTGGTCGGGGCCTGGACTGGCTGGGGCCTTCCAGGTGCTGCCCGGGAGGCCCGTGTGCTGGCCCGACTCGTTGTGGCCCTGAGGCGCCAGTTCAGCGGATGATTGGTCAGGTCAGTGCTCGGGCGGCCCTGGTGGCACTCAAGCCATCCCCTTGGAGCCCAGCGCTGACCTGACTGTTTTCCCTGTTCCCCATCTGCATCTTCGTCGTGTCCGTCGAATGACGTCTGCTTCTCCTTCGTTTCTCTCTCCCCCTCTTCTCCCTGCGCACATTGCTTGTTTAAGTTCTTTTCTTTTCTTATTCTTGCTTCCAGTGATCGGTTTTCATCATTGCTTGTGCTGTTGATGTTTGCAAGCGTGGGCCCCAAACGTGATTTATGAGGAGCAATATCTGTGGTGCACTCGTATACGTGATGCATTTTTTGCGGGTCATTTATGTAGTGCAGTCCAGTGTGCAATGTATGTGTGTGTATGTGGTGCAGTCTACTTGGTATAATCTCAGCGCGGCGGCGAAATCCCGGGGAGTACAGCCAGCACACGAGGTGGCGACGAGGCGACGACGAGGCGGCGACAGCGAACACCTGGAAGACCCAACTGGCACACGAGGCGGCGACGGGGGGCGACGGGGCAAGACCCTCGACAGAAACCTGGGCAGCACAGGTTGTGGCGGCCAAGCTGCGACTGGCGGCGACTGGAGCGTGTTTCTTTATTGCTTGGGGCATAATGAGTATGATAGCCCCCGGCCCCCTCTCCCCCCCCCACCCCCTATAACGTCACGCCTCTCCCCCCCCAGTGCGCTCTGGGCACTGCCGCCGTATGCACGGCGGGGGGGGGGGCATTACATTATACCACCCCTCCTGGCCCCTCCCTCCCCCCCCCACCCATAATGCCCCCCTGTCGCCGAAAGTGAAGGAACGCGCCCGTGGGCGAAAACCCAGCCAGAGCGAGCCAGGCTCCTCGTGGGGGGCGAAGAAGAGGAGGAGGAGGAGGAGGAGGAGGAGGAGGAGGAGGAGGAGGAGGAGGAGGAGGAGGAGGAGGAGGAGGAGGAGGAGGAGGAGAGGAGGAGGACGAGGAGGAGGAGGAGGAGGAGGAGGACGAGGAGGAGGAGCAGGAGGAGGAGGAGGACGAGGCGGCGGCGAGGCGGCGAGCCGGCGAAGGAGGCCCAGAGAAAATCCCCAGGCGGCGCACGGAGCGGCGGCGGGGTGGCGGCGGGCGGCGTCCTCTGGCGAAGCTCGGGCGAAAGCAGTCTGCGCGCACGGCCGCGACGAGGCCGCGGCGGGCGGCGACCTGGCGACAACCCAGGGAAGCCTAGACTTGAGTCGGGCCTGTCCCCCTACAGGAAGAATATAAAAACATGGGAAACATCGGGGGACGTTTTTTTTATACACATTTTTTGTTACTATGTTTTTTTAATTTTGTTTCCTCGTTTTTCGTCCAACATCGGCTTGTAATTTGGGCCCGACCTAAGCCTAGACAGCACACGCGGCGGCGACGAGGCGGCGAAGGACGGCGACCGAGCGAAGACCTATCCTGCACACGAGGCGGCGACTCGGTGGCGACGGGCGCCGAGCCCGTTCACGCACGAAGCCCTTGCAGTACAAGCACTGCTTGGGAAACGTGTGTCTTGTTCCCCATATCCTGACGATGGGTTTCTTGTTAGTCCCGATATCCGAAGGATGGGGTTCATGTAGTTCCCAATATCCAAGGGATTGGTCTATCTCCAAAGCATGGGATTCTTGTTATTACTCCGACCGCGCCGACTCCTTCAAACTCATCTCCTCCTCTTTCTCACTCGGAGTCACATTCAGGATCATTTAGCTCTGCAGGAGGCGTTTGTGGTCTGCGAGTGTGATCCGCCGCCGTTTACCTCGCTCAAGTCTCTCAGGGAATGCAAGCGTTTCTCGTTGAGGCGGTGCCCGACTTCGTTCGCTCCTTTCAGACAGCAGTGATAGTCCGTGCTGCGGCCGATTCCTGTCCCGCGTGCATCTGCAAGCCGACGCTGAACTGCCCACCCCTCACCTGCTCCTGCCCTGCTGGGGAGGGGCACCAGACGGCGGCGCCTGTCTCGTCCGCCTCTTCGTGGTGCTGGGGTCTCGGCTTCGTGCACGGCTTCGGGGCAGGGCTCCTCGTCGGCGCTGTCTTCGTCCTCCGCGAGGTTCGTCGCAGGAGGAGGCCGTCAGCGCCTTCAGCTCTCACGAGTGTGCAGGAGAAGGGCTCCTTCAACGGGGAGACCGACTTCGAGAAGGCGGCGGCGGAGCAGGCCCGTCAGGCTCGGCGGAGGGCATTAGCATCTCGCTGACGCGATGCCGATGGCGGCTGGCAGCTTCTACCTTGTTCGGTTCAATGTTCCTGGTCGAGAGATCTGGCACGAACGGCTCGTCATCCAGGGGGCGCTCATCATGACTCCTGATGGCGACGTCTACCACGAGGACCAGGTGCTCTCCAGGGACGTCAAGGGGCATCAAGCCGCTGAGCGGGCAGGGCGCCGCGGTCGACGGGATCGAGGCGGCGAGCGTGTGCCGCTTCAAGCGGCCCCCCACGGCGGTGCAGGTGTGGGACGCGCTGCGCGAGGCGGCGGCAGGCGGTGCTGCGGCGCTCCCGCACGAGGACATCGCGCTGGAGCTCGGCGAGGGGAATGTGCTCGGGATGGCCCCTGGGCTGCTCTTCCTGCGCGACCCGCTCGCGGCCCCCGTGCCTGCCGCGGCGGGTTCGCTGGTGGCCGTTGCGCCGCCTGCGCTGGGGGCTGCCTCCGCGCCTCTCGCGCCTCCCGACCCCTTGGGGGATGCGTTGGCCACGGCGCTCAGGCCTGGCGCTCCTCCAGGCGCTCGCGCTGGAGGCGCGGCCACGCCTCCTGCGGGGGAGCCCCCGAGCAACGACTTTCGCGTCCTCGCGGTGGTGAGGGACTCGCGGGGTCGCCGCGACCGCTCCTTCGGCGACGCGCTCAAGGAGCAGACTGAGTGCAAGCGTGACGACTGGCCCGTGCTTGCGCCTCGGACGTTGCTCTGGGTCCTCCAGTTCATGCTTCGGATGGCTGGAGGTGCTGTCGCGTGGCACACGCGGTGGCTCGCCGTCATGGGCCTGGCCGAAGGCGACGAGGCGGCGAAGCAGCATGAGACCATCTGCCGCATCCTGGAGACGTCGATGGTGTACGACCAGCTCGTCATCACCGAGCTGGCCAGCTTCGAGTATCTTGCTCGGCAGCTGCAGCTGATCGAGGAGAGGGTCTACGACGAGAAGACTCGCAAGGCAGCCGTCACGCTCAAGGGGCAGGGCAATAAGGACTCCACACCCCAGGACGCTCTGTCCACGGAGGTCGGCCACTTCCTGGGGATCGGAGAGACGAATGGTAACTTGTGCATCTGCCCCGCGTTGATGCAGTTTAGCGCAGAGCAGCTGAGGAACGAGGCGGCGGTATCGAAGGAACAACGCAAGGCGCGTGAGGAGCGCGCCTTGCGGGTGCCATGACGCCCCCCTGAGGACGCGAGCTGGGATGGGGCCAGCCCCAGGGCTGCCCAGCTCGCCGAGCCCCTGCCCCCTCGGGCCGCCCCCTGGCTCGGGCTTGCCACAGGCCCCCCGCCTTCGCCAGCGGGATGCTCTGCCGCTGCCGCCCCTCGACGTGGACGACCGTCTTCACGCCGTTAACGGTCGGCGCCCTCGCCAGCGCGCTGCTCGTGGTGCGGCTTGGCGCTGGTGGTGCAACGAGGGTATCGACGCACTCAACTAGCTCCATGGTCTTTCTGCTGCGGGGCGTCCCGCGGGTGAGGATGTGGTCTGCTCCCAGGCGCAGCTTGCTGTCGTCGGAGAGCTGCAAGAGCACTACCGTCGTTTTGAGTTGCCTCCTGGGCACAGTGAGCAATGCCAGTTTTGTGAGGCATTCCTCGCAGAGGTGCTCTCTACGACCCCAGGCTACCAGAACGCCTCGCGGGTCAGACCCTGCGACAAGGCCCTCGTGGCCTGGCCTGCGCTCTCGGGACCTCCCGTCGAGGTCAGCTCCGTCGTGCAGCAGGCCGATGCCGTCCAGTTGCAGGGTTGGAGGCAGAGTGTGCTGAGATCCGCAGGCGAGGTCGCGGAGCTGCAGGTGTCGTTAGGCGTTCAGAAACCCTGCGTCGACCCTCTGCTTCGCGATCCTCGGAATTATGCTGAGTTTTTGAACGCGATGCTGCAGCGCCACATGATCGAGTGGACTGTTGCGTCACCTCCTTCTTCTTCCTACTCCGTCGGGATTTTCTTTGTCGAGAGGAACGGCGGCAAGCTGAGGTTAGCCTTCGACGCGAGGGTGGCGAATGCTTATTTCAAGTCCCCTCCGAACACCGTGCTGCCTACTACCCCATCGGCCTGGGCCGCCCTCGAGTCGTCAGGCGACTTCTATGTGGCCCAGGGGGACACCCAGTGCGCCTTCTACCACATGGCGGTGCCGCCCGACCTCGGGGACTTCTTCCGACTGCCCGCGATCTCCAACCGCTTCGTGGGCCTGAAGACCGTCGGCTCGCTGAGCGTGGGTCGCCACGTCCTCCTGCTGCCCGTCGTTCGTGTGGTGCCCATGGGCTGGAACTGGGCGCTCTACTTCTGCCGGTCGGCTCTGGTGCGCGGCATGATCGACGTGGGGGTCCAGCCGAACCGTCATCTCGCCGATGGGGCCGCGCCCTCCCCGCTCGCCTGTAAGAGCGACCTGTTGGCAGCATGGTGCGTTGACAACTTCTGCGTGGTTTCCCAGTTACCCGCTTTGGCGACTGCCAAGGCTCGGGAGCTGGCGCAGACGCTGACCTCTAGAGGCTTGCCCGTGCACGACTTCACTGAGGCCCATACGGAGGGCGTCTTTACGGGCATCCATTTCTCGGGCAAGACAGGGATGCTGCGCGTGAGGCCCGCCCGCCTCGCCCGCCTGCAGCAGGCCATCTTGGCCCTCTTGAGCCGCGGGTCTGCGTCGCGTGGGGCCCTGACCTCTATAGTAGGTCACGCCGCGTGGGCTATGATCATGCGGAGAGAGTGCCTGTCGATATTCAATGGTGTTTATCGTTTCATTCAAGTCGCGGGTCCCACTCCCATGAAGCTATGGCCCTCAGTTCGACAGGAACTCTCAGCCGTGGCCGCTTTGTTGCCGTTGATGTGGGCGTCCTCTCGCGTGCCTTGGCTAGGCGCCCTCTACGCCTCAGATGCCTCGCCGTACGGGAAGGGTGCGTGCATGGAAAAGCTGGACCCCCTCGTCGTCTCGTCCACGGGCCGTGTTGCAGAGAAGTGGAGGTCGAGTCTCGGAGGCGATTTCTGCCAGGGCCCATGCGTTCGAAGGTGGAGGAGGTGATGAGGGTGCTCAAGATGCTGCTGTCGGTTGCTCGTTGCCGTCGGACGTGCTGCTCGGGGAGGGGGGCGTCGACTCCGTCTCGGATTTCGTCGAGGTGCCGTCGGTGCTGTGCGATTCGGAGGAGTGGGTTATCATTCGTTCCAGTCGTCATCGCCGTATGGGTCTCAACATTCTGGAGTATGAGGGGGGGGCGCTCTGCTTTGCTGTTCGTCATGCCGCTCGAAAAACGGGTAGCCGCAGGCATCGCATTCTATTTCTCGTCGACAATTTGGCTCTGGCTCTGAGTTGCGGCAAGGGTCGCGCAGGTTCACAGCACTTGCGGCATCTTCCCCGACGCTTGGCCGCCGTCAGTCTCACCACGGGTATCCGCGCGATCGTCCGATGGATTCCGAGCGTGCGGAACGTTGCAGATGGCCCCTCGCGGACGGGCTTCTTCTTCGAAGCTGAAGCAGGCGACCAGGTCCCCGAGTGCAGCCCGGGCGCTCGACGTCCAGCGCACCCAGGGCTGCTGCAGTTGCTGAGGGGGGGGGCCTCGTGCCTCGAGAACGCCGCGGTGACGCAGCGGACGCAGGACTCCTACCACGCTCACGCCGCCCGCTTCCACCAGTGGTGCACGTGGGCGGGGCAGTCGTTCGAGACTGCCGCCGAGCTGGACGCACTGCTGCTGGTCTTCTTCGGGAACCTCTGCCTGGGCGGGTTCGATGCCGCGACGGGGCGCATGACGATGGCAGCCCTTCGCCGCCTGTTGCCGCACATGCTGGCGGGCCCCCGCGCTCTGCCGAGAGCCATGCGGGCTCTCGAGGGCTGGGGCCGCCTAGTGCCGCCGCAGATGCGGCTCCCGCTGCCGCGCTTGGCGATGCTCGCCGTGGTGGGCCTCCTGATCCAGGACAGGAGGTTCGCGGAGGCGGTCTTCGGGAGGCTGGCGTTTGACACCTACCTCAGGCCCAGCGGGGCCTATCGCCTGGTGGCGGCCAGCCTGGTGGAGCCGCGTGCGGGGTCAGTCGACGGCTATCAGCGCTGGGGCATGATCGTGAACGATGCGACGACGGGCGGCCCTGGCAAGACGGGTGTGACCGACGAGAGCGTCATCATCGACAACGCGAGCTTGTGGCCCCTCCTCCAGGGCTTGAAGCGCCACCGCGCTCCGAGGGATCCGCCGTGGAGCTTCGCGCCCTCGGTGATCCGCCAGGTCTTCCGCGAGGCGTTGGTCAGGCTCGGCATCTGGGGCGGCGTCTCGACCCTGTGCGCGCTCGGGCACGGGGGGGCCTCCGACGACCTCCTGTCGGGCCGCCGCTCGAGGAAGGAGGTCGAGGACCGCGGGGGGTGGGTCACCGGCGCCTCCCTCAACCGCTATGCCGAGCGGTCTCGGATGCAGCAGCTCATCGCCGCGCTCCCGCAGTTCGTGGTGGCGCAGGGCAGCGCCGTGGACGGGCGCGAGGCAGAGCTCATCTCGACGATGGCGACTACGGGATCGTGTTCGCTGCCGGCTCTGCCACCCGACCTGCCGGCAGCGAAGCTGCCCAAGCGGGTTCGCGCCCCGCAGCTGAGCCGCAAGTGGCGCTTCGGTTGAGCAGGATCTTCTCGCGCGCCGTCTCTCACTGCCCCGCCCTGCCTCGCTTCATCTTTCCTGTGTGCGGCGCGCGCTTGAATCCCATCGACAAGGCGCGTCGCCGCCAGGGCCTGGGTAGTGTACTTTTGGACCCAAGTCGGTGCCCTACCGACGACCTGGCTGCGCCTGGGGTCTCTCGCGTCGTCCGCGGCTGGATTCGCAGCTCCTGCGTCGCGGGGGCGTGGTTTCGGCTTGGGCTTCCTTCCTGGTCGGTGTGCGCCAGGCTTCCCGCCAGGTCGTCGGCTCGGCCCCTCGGGCTCTCTTGCATTAGTCCCTGGGTGCAGGCTCAGGTCAATGTTGCGAATGACGATGCTCATCACCTGTTGCGAACGCTTCTCGTGTGTGTACAGTGCAAAGTGCCGACGATGCTCGAGCACCCTGCTAGCAGTGCGCTATGGCACCTCCCCTTTGTTCAACGACTGCTCTTGTCGGCCTCGCCGGAGGCGACGTTCGACGCTTGTATGTACGAAAGCCGTGTGCATCGAACGTGGCGCATCGTTGGCTGGCATGTGAATAGTTTACACAAGCTTTCATCGCATTGCTCGTGTGCTCGTGCTAGATGTGACAGATCTGGTAAGTTTCATCTCGGGTCTCTTGGGAAGAAGCTGAACTCGGACCCGGCTGAACTCGGACCCAGCTGAACTCGGACCCGGCTGATCTCGGACCCGGCTGAACTCGGACCCGCTGAACTCGGACCCGGCTGAACTCGGACCCGGCTGATCTCGGACCCGGCTGATCTCGGACCCGGCTGATCTCGGACCCGGCTGAACTCGGACCCGGCTGATCTCGGACCCGGCTGATCTCGGACCCGGCCTGCCTCCGGCGCTCCTCCCGGCTTCCGGCTGGGGTTCTCCCGCCCGGCGCTCCTCCCGGCCTCTGGCCGGGGTGCTCCCGGCCCGGCCTCTGGCCGGGGTGCTCCTGGCCCGGCTCCACTGGCCGGCGCTCCCCCGGCCGGCGTCTCCCCGGCGCGTCTCCGACCCGGCTGAACTCGGACCCGGCTGAACTCGGACCCGGCTGATCTCGGACCCGGCTCTCGGACCCGGCTGATCTCGGACCCGGCCTGCCTCCGGCGCTCCTCCTGGCTTCTGCCTGGGGTTCTCCCGCCCGCCGCTCTTCCCGGCCTCTGGGGCCTCTGGCCAGGGTGCTCCCGGCCCGGCTCAACAGGCCGGCGCTCCCCCGGCCGGCGTCTCCTCGGCGTCTCCGACCCGGCAGAACTCGGACCCGGCTGATCTCGGACCCGGCTGATCTCGGACCCGGCTGATCTCGGTCCCGGCTGATCTCGGACCCGGCTGATCTCGGACCCGGCCTGCCTCCGGCGCTCCTCCCAGCTTCCGGCTGGGGTTCTCCCGCCCGGCGCTCCCCCCGGCCTCTGGCTGGGGGTGCTCCCCGCCTGGCTCCACGCCGGCGCTCCCCTGGCCGCCGGCGTCTCCCCGCCATCCCGCCGTCTCGGACCGGGCTGATCTCGGACCCGGCTGATCTCGGACCCGGCTGATCTCGGACCCGGCTGAACTCGGACCCGGCTGATCTCGGACCCGGCTGATCTCGGACCCGGTCTGTTTCCGGCGTTCCTCCCGGCTTCTGGCTGGGGTTCTCCCGCCCGGCGCTCCTCCCGGCCTCTGGCCGGGGTGCTCCCGGCCCGGCTCGAGGCCGGCGCTCCCCCGGCCGGCGTCTCCCCGGCGTCTCCCACCCGGCTGATCTCGGACCCGGTTGATCTCGGACCCGGCTGAACTCGGACCCGGCTGATCTCGGACCCGGCTGATCTCGGACTCGGCCTGGCTCCGGCGCTCCTCCCGGCTTCTGGCTGGGGTTCCCCCGCCCGGCGCTCCTCCCGGCCTCTGGCTGGGGGTGCTCCAGGCCCGGCTCCTGGCCGGCGCTCCCCCGGCCGGCGCCCCCCCGGCGTCTCCGACCCGGCTGAACTCGGACCCGGCTGAACTCGGACCCGGCTAATCTCGGACCCGGCTGATCTCGGACCCAGCCTGCCTCCGGCGCTCCTCCCGGCTTCTGGCTGGGGTTCTCCCGCCCCCGCCGTTCCTCCCGGCCTCTGGCCAGGGTGCTCCCGGCCCGGCTCCACGGGCCGGCGCTCCCCCAGCCAGCGTCTCCTCGGCGTCTCTCGGACCCGGCTGATCTCGGACCCGGCTGATCTCGGACCTGGCTGAACTCGGACCCGGCTGATCTCGGACCTGGCTGATCTCGGACTCGGCCTGCTTCCGGCGCTCCTCCCAGCTTCCGGCTGGGGTTCTCCCGCCCGGCGCTCCCCCCCGCCTCTGGCTGGGGGTGCTCCTGGCCCGGCTCCACGCCGGCGCTCCCCTGGCCGCCGCCGTCTGACCGCCATCCCGCCGTCTCGGACCCGGCTGACCTCGGACCTGGTCTCGCCTGGGCGCTCCCGGCGCGCCCGTCCTCTCTGGCTGCACTCGGACCCGGCTCATTTCGGACTTGCCTGAACTCCGAGTCGGTTGATTTCGCTACTGGCTGATCTCAGACCCACCTCCTGCCAGGTGCGATCCCGCCGGTCCTCCCGACTTCCGCCTCGGGTTCTTCCGGCCGGCGCCCTCCCGCCTCCGGCGCTTTCCCGGTCGGCGTTTCCTCGGCGGTCTGGCGCTGTCCCGGCTCTCGGCCGGCGCGCCACCGGCGCTCACCCGGCGGCTCCGGCGCCTCCCCGGCGTCCGGTGCCTCAATGTCCGCGGCGAGCACGCGAGAGCCCCATGTTGAAAAGTAACCTCCCTCCATCCCTGCACTGCGACAGACGTTCACGACGATTGTCCGCGGCCATCAGGCGAGAGCCCCATTTTGGAAAGGAACCTCCCTCCACCCGCGTGACAGACTTCAAGACGATTGCACGCGGCGCTAAGGCGAGAGCCGCATTGTGAACACAAACCGCCCTCCATCGTGTAAATGTTGCACAATAGTACACTTCAGGATCATACATGGCGATCGTACATGGCAAGGGAGTCTCTGGCGAAACGCCTGCCTCCCCCCCCCCCTACACACGCGTTCCGTGGTGCGCCAGGGGGGATTTCTTTTAAAGGGGAGAGGATGGAGGAGGACGAGGAGGAGCGGGAGAAAATGAAGAACGGGAGCCGTGGCTGTCTTACGGGCTCTGTGGCCGCCCAGTTCGTGCGCGTGGGCGGTTTGAAGGTGTCCTTGGGCCCAGGGCGGGCGGCCCTACAGCACTTCCTCCATCCTTTCACATGGGCCACAGGAGCATGCTCAGACGCCCACGCCGTACAGGCATGCAATTGGATATTGACGTGCATTTTCGCGCGGTGGCTCTCAGGCTCGGAATGGCCATGGCAATGTCGACGGTGATGATGGCAGCGACGGCGGAGTACGATTCCGACGGCGACGACTGCGGCCACAGAGACCATCACGACGACGACGTCGACGACGACGACGTCCTCTTCCTCCCTCCTCCCTGCTCCTCCTTCCTTCCTTCCTCCTTCCTCCTTGCTCCTCCCCTCCCGTCTCCTGTGCAGGAGACTCGGCGGCAGCTGTAATCCCGGAAATGGGTTCCAGGGGATCTTTCTCCGGCCTTTGTGGCCATGCACTCTGTGTCTTTCAGGTGTGGCATGCGTTGTCATGCCTTGCGTTGTCATGCATTCCATTGTTGTGCAATGCAGCGCAGCTCCTTCCAAGTTTCCATCGCTCTGCCTTGCATTGTTCTGCCTTCTTGACTTCGCTTTGCGATGCATTGCATTCCATTGCGATCCATAGCATTCGCTTTGAGTCCTTTGTGGGTTTTCCATTATGCCCTCCGCCTACACCTTTATGTCGTCGCGCCATTCCCAGCCCAACCACGTTTTCTTCACAGGGACCTTGGCTCAAGCGTTTCCTTTCGATCGCACTGCCTTCTGCCAGCCATCTGGTCCCATGGCATCCGCGACCTTCCGAGCGCTGCCCTCTTGCTCGATTAGCCTACGGCGTCGAGAAGACAAGCGCGACGTTGCCTTCCAGGTGGCAGCCGGTCTGGGCATCGAGCCGACGTGGTTGGCGGGAACCGATGGGGATTCCCTCAAGGCACGGAGTGGGTATGCTTAGCGTTGCCAGGGCGGGCCGGGCGGCCGGGTGCTTTGCTCCTGGTTCGACGCCGCACACAAGACGCGCCGTATTCGGTATGTGCGAAATGCCAAGTCGAATTGGGGCACGCATTGGGGGACCTTGGGCTGTCTGATGAGCCACGAGCATGCTTTGGCGCAGCTCCAAGACGCTCCTGCCCTCATCGTCTTGGAAGACGACATCCGCCTGGCAATCGATGCCAAGGAGGCCTGCGCGATGATTGCGCAGGCTCTCCGTTGCATCCACAAGGACCACAAGGATTGGCTGATCCTGTACCTTGGCTGCTCTACCACTCCGTGGTCTGGGCCCTTGCGCAAGGTGCGCGGAGGGCCGGCTGGTTTGTGCTGCGCCCGGCAGGCTTACCAGAGCCATGCGTTCGTGATCTCGCAGGCGGGGGCGGAGATTTACTGTGAATACCTTCGCAAAGGCTTCCCTGCGGAAAACGCGCTGCTGAACATGGTGCGTCGGTGCCCCTAGATGTGCTTTGCCCTGGACCCTCTCGTGCTTGCGCAGGAGCAGAAGAAGCTCACGCAGAGCGACATCCGCGAGTCCACCGTGGCCTACCGGTCCGGCGCTCCACGCGCACGGAAAAGGGGCCACGCCAGCATCGCCAGGAGAAGGGCGTCGTTGCCGCAGGCGCAAGCGGCTGGGAGCGCAAGCAGGAAGGAGTGGCTCCGAAAGACGCGCCGAGCCAGCGCCAGACGCAAATCCAAGCGCACGCAGACCAAGGCCGGTTGTCGCGGCTCCCACACCCTGTGCATGTCGGGGTGGGCGTCTTGCTCCGCGGGCGCCCAGGCAAAAGTTGCGCGCCCCAGCGTCCGGGCGGCCATCGTGGAGCGATGGGGCCAGACAGCATCCTCCAGCCTCCGGCACAACCCGCCGCCGCCCATTGTCCCCCACTGGGCTCT